TAATTGGCACGAATTAAGATCTTCCTTTATCACAGTTAAAATTTATCCTTGTACTTGTTCGTGGTCAACCGCCATATCACCGAAAAATGATGATAGATGTGTTTCAATCTGACGCTAGGGAGAAGCAATATTCTCATGATGGTTGGACTCACATAGTCCACCCAAAGCTTATCCGTTGAGAGGGGGATTGAAAAAGGGGCACTTTTTATTATCCGGGGGGAGGGTGTACAAGCTTGTTACCGGAAATAAATTTTGTGTTTAAAAATGTTCGAGTTCATATTTGGAAGAGATTGTGCGTATCAAAGCTTAGGAGCGGACAGAAGTTTGAAAGTTTCATAAACTTCTTGTGCTCTCTAAACATATATGCATGTGAGGCATAGTTCCAGGTGTGTGGATTGTCATCGGAAGGCTTTGGGGGCCTTATTTTCTGGAAGGGTTATCATGTATAGTGCAAGATTGTACGAATTTCTTTGTGCTTTTGCATCGATTTATCCTCCAACTGATCCGGCATGAGTAGATCTTGCCTCTACTAGTTCCTTAACAAGGTAAAAAGCCCAGCCATGCAGGCTATTATTGCTCTCAGGGTGTACAAGACACCTGTTGATGTAAAATGAATACGATTTTCAGTGTAGAAAAGTAGGCGTCGATTTTATTATTTAGTAATCTATAAGCGAGTTATAAAAGCAAATGTAAGGCACATTTAGCGAATACTAAATTAAAGTGTTTTTTTTAATAGTGCACGAACTCTGCTCGATGAACGTGTTTCGCTGTATGGTGTTAATCATCTTAGTTGACGTCTCAGGAAACAGCAGTTGACTGGTTCAAATGGACACGTCTGCATGAGTTGTGATTTGGTAAATTTCGAGTCATTTTGTTTATTGTTTTTTTCCAGGTTCATTGGTTTTCGTGTGTGATTGACGGCAGCCAAAACGCAATCGTTAGCTAAGTTTGGCATGTGATTAAAAGCGCAGCAAATTTGGCTCCAGGCAAGATGTATCAAACATATTTGAGATGTTGGTGACGTTATGTGTGTAAGAAATCCAGGATACTACAAATCCGTCTTGTATTACCACGCAACTAGCTTAGTCCAGGTGCGCATTCCGTTGGTTGGCGAGTGGCGCGAAAAACGGCCAGGGAAAAATAGGGGAGGAGCTCAGTGAGGTGAAAAAGCGACAAATGAATCTTGTAAGCCGTTGAAGTCGTCTAGACCTAGCATCCCCATTTTGCTCTTCTGAGACAATCGACGGTTATGTTACGAGGCCTCTGCAGGTTGTCTATCGGTGGAAAATGTAAAAAATGATCACGGTTTTCTCTCTGTCGATCTCGCCTCCCGTATTTTCCCTCTCGCCGTTTTTCGGAGTGCTCCCTATTTAACGAACTCCTTGACCAGGTTACAACCCAGCAGAAGCAGCAATGTTAATTGAAACTATATATATTACAAATAAACTTACTCTGAATTTAAGCATTATATACAAACATAGATATATCATTTATGTGTTGATCAAACCGAAACTTAAAGTTCACGAAGTATTGGAATTGATGGTGCATTAGACCATTGGGCACTTTTCTCACACAAATTCTTATAATAAAAATTTCACAACTGGAGAAATTCGGCAATGAACGATGTTTAACGATTGATTATAATATATACAAAGTAACTGGAAGTTAAAGTTTCGAATTGACAAGTTTCTTACGTCTGTATAAATTATAAATCACTGAAAACTGCTAATTTAATATTGAAGTCTTCCTTCATTAAACGTACTACGTACATAGAGGAGCAGGTCATTCAGTAACTCTACATCTAATTTTTTTTCTAGAAAAATCCTCTCTTTATAGATTTATACAACTCTTGCGGTGTTTACGTTTGTATTTTTTGCCATCAGCTGTTTGTCATACACATACACATCATCCGAGCCTACTGACAATCGAATGCGGACTATCCGATTAGAGCCATGTAGCCTGGCCTGCCATATTTCACCAAACGTGCTTCGTACAAGACACGTGATAAGTTGGAAGTCTTGCTTCTTCCAGCGAGAGGTGTTCTGATATTGATGAGTACCTACAAAAGAAATGATTCCAAAAGTTTTTTAAAGTTCAAAAGGGAAATACTGTTCAAAATCAAATACGTATGCATCCAATTTCATTTTCAGTTTTCGTTGATATTACCGTAGAGTTTATTGATGATATAAATAAAGGCAAAAAGGTAAAGTCTGCATACAAGCCAAGTGGTCCATCAGACCGGAGCTTATCTCGGTCTCTGTAGCGTTTAGAGACTAGGAGTATTTCTTCTCCCCCCTGGATGGGATGCTAGTCCATTCCAGGGTTACCCCCAGCATTAAGTTCGCCGGTACTCATTTATACACCTGGGTGGAGAGAGGCACTGTAAGACTAAAGTGTCTTGCCCAGAAACACAACGCAATATATCCTCGGCCAGGGCTCGACCCCAGACCGCTCGATCCGGAGACGTGCGCACTAACCATGGGGCCATCGATCCGCCACGAAAATAAAACACATCAAACTTAATGGCCAGTTGGAATAAATTCGTGTACTGACTGTTTTTTAGAATTCAAATAACTAACCTGACACGCCTTTATCGCAGACCACTTGAGATAAATGTTTTACATGTCTTGATATCTTCTTTCGTCGTTTGTAAGAAATCAATTTCCACAGCATCAGAATAATCGCAATTACGCTCAGGACAATTGTCATTGCCACAAGATGACCCCAGATTAACAATGTTAATTGTCTTATCGACTCTTTAATATCTAAAATGTGGAAAGAACATCAACTTGATAAGAGAGATTAGAGCTACTCCACTCTGCCTTGTTCTGTGATACACAAATAATTAATTTCTGTTACAGTAAGTTGTTTCATAAGAGCGATCAAAATCTGATTTGTCATCTTGGTCTCAACACATTAGTAGACTAATAACGGTTACGTCACGTTCTAATATGCGACAAAGTTTCATAAATTTGTATTTTCAAACAGTCATCTTGCATTTTAGCGTTAATCCGTGCTATCTACGCAGCAACTCGGCTTAAGGACGTCGTTCGTTAAGATATGGTGTTGATCTCGATTCCTAATATAAGCTGTAATTGAGAAACTGCCGTAAAAATAATTTCATTTTGAACTTCAAATCATGCACTGGTGGAAACCGGCTCAATCAGAGTTTATTCTCGACATAGTCTTAAAACACGGCGGAAAATTTTCTATTCTTCCTCCCGCAATCGTTCTCTCACTAGGGGATTTGGCCGAGAGCGGGAGATGACTGACATTTCAGACATTTGGTTCCCGATTTGGGTGGACGGAGACTGTTAAAACCTGCCGAAGAAGTCGCTTTGGGTTATATTACGAAATCAAGACAAATTAAAACCCTGTGTTAGTCGGTTACTCTAGAAAAAGATTCTCACCTTTCACCACACAATTCTTTTCCGTCTCCTCGCTGATAAGAATAATTACATCTCGGTTACATTTGTCTTCTGTACAACAGCAGTGGTAGAGAGCTGGCGAGTTATGGAGACTCTTTCGTTGCCCGTTGCATACTGACGAGGGCGCGCAATCTTGGGCAGGCTGAGTTATGCATCCTTTCATAATAGTATTCAGTCCGCCATCTTTGTTCTGACCGAACAAGGCATAACAAGCTGGCGTTGAACCAAGTATGTGATCGCACTGCTGTAATATTGAACACGAGGAGTTTCCAGACGCTGCAGAGTTGGATGTCCGACATTTCTGATCGTATGATTCACACACTAGTGACAACCCCTTGGTGGCAAACGCTGAAAAAAAAAAATTAATTCTCCAGGTCACGCTATATAAGGTTATTCTTTGTTTTTTTTTTTTTAAAGGAGATCAGCCACACGGCATTTTGAGTTATTTTGGCACTTTAAATTGAAGGGAACCTGAAAATAGTAGTTTACTAAGATGGAAGTACGCCAAAGAGATAATAACAAACCATAAAGGAACAAGGAACTTGAAAAGTCTAGGCTAAATTTTTCAAGATGTACAAACTGTGACGTAGTTCTTTGAAAATTGAGAGAAGTTCTAAATCTTTGTTTAAAATGTTTAAAGCAAAACGCACTGAAGAAAAATTGCTAGAAAGAACCATCTCTGTTATATCCTTAAGGCCCCCGCGCGGATTTTTATTTGTTGTTCCACGCAAATCTGTTTGCGTTCAAAGGCGGTGTATAGCGGGTCGAAAAGATCCGAGTTAAAGAAGTGATGATAAGAGAGCTTAATGGCCATTTTCACAATTAAGCTTTTCTCATTTGCATTACAGTGTAATCCAACGTGGATGCGAGGCAATTTAGAGCAGAAACTACAAAATCATCCCAAATTGTCTCATATGCATGACAGATTATGTTGTAATGTAAATGAGAAAAGTCAACTGTGAAAAAGGCTATTAATAGCACAGACCGGTTTCTGAACCATAGAAGCCAACCCGAAGTTTATTTTCCTTCTTTTGACGTGTTTTCACCCCCTACTAGTAAGTCGTAAAGTTCTCATTAATGTAGCTTTCACAACTTCACGTTTTTTAACGAAAATTCGATAATCACACAAAGAGGAGACGATTTGACTTGCCGTTCACGAGCTCGGTAATACTTACAGAAAATGCAGATCCACAACACCGTGACTTGTCTCATTTTACTTCATTCTCCGCCGTAAACTGCGCTAATTAATAAGAAAAATCAAAAGTATTAACAATAATGTATAGAGGGATCGAAAAATTAAGTAAATATGTAGGGCTTCTTTTTATATCGATTGTTGTTACTAATGTTATGACTCGTATCGAAGTTTGTTTGTCTTTATACCTGTGGACAGCCGAGTAATGGTAGGGAGAATTTTCCCCACTGCATCCTGTTGCTTATAGATTTCATATAATTTACTAACTCGGGTTAAAATTTCAGTCACTCATCAGTATTTACCGAGTTCAAACATTGAACCAAGCATTTCATTGAAATAATTTGTTAATGAAATTCTCGAACTGAAATTATGAAAATTGACACACAGCGCCGGTCCTTTAGACATTGCGCCGTCGGCGGCCAATTTCTGTTAGTCAGTCAATCTTATCGCAATCAAAATTTAGTTTTAAAGAGATGTGAGAAAATTGGGATGTTCCTTTGGAATGTCCTTTTCTGAAATTGGTGGCTGTTAAGATCTAGGATTAAACTATTCCGGTAGAAATTTCGTTGTATAAATCGCCGGGCGGATATCAAAAGATTCGCGTACATGAAATTCAGCTGGCGTCTGGTTTGATAGAGAAGAGGGCTTAATACCAGGCCAGCTGAAGATGGCAAATATAAATTCGTAAAATAGGGGAGAAATACATGCTTAGAATAAGAATAATTATTCATAGTTTCGAAACTTACTGGGTTAAGCTTTGATTCTTACCTAGTGTGTTGTCAGAGGCTCCAATATAGATAAAATATATGTTTTGATATCATTGTCTCGTTTTATGTGAAAACATGTCTAAGCATTAAAAACAAAACTGTCAATCAATCAGAACTAAGCCAATCAGACGACAGAGTGGCACTAACAAAGGATCAACGGTTTACGTATTTATGAGAGAAGTGTAAATAATAACTTGTTGCTCTGGTTAGAAAATGTCAGAAATTGTTAAATGGTTTCTATGAGTTTACGAGTGTAATGTTTTATAAATGAGTAAACGTTTTGGGTGAATAATGGCTTAAACATAAACAAAAGTTACACTGTTTAAGTTTATAACTTTATCCCTGGCGTCTGGCCTCGGTTTGAAGAGTGATGACGCCGTTTTCGCCACGAAACCCAAGAACATTGGCGGTTGGCGTTCAGAAAAAAAAAAAAAAAAACGAAACGCTAGATATCAAAGAATTTCGGAGCATCTTGCCGCTTTTTAAAGTGTCAGCGCCAGAGGCTGTTATGAAGCAATTAGTCGCCATTAGTTGAGACTTGTCGCGCAAAACAAATAATTGTAGAACAGGTAGCAAAATGAAATAATGTTATATAGCAGGTGGTCAAGAGAAAAGCAGTTAACTGACTGGCAAACACAGACATCCGATCCGATGTGTTTTCCTTTCAGAAAAATATCTCTGGCAGTGTTTTGGTAACAGTTAGTATATGTCTATATTTTTTTGTACGAAGAGCAGTTTTATTTTGCTAAACATTAAGAATTCAAACAAGAAAATAAATGTTATTTTGAAATGTACGCTGTAAAGCAATTGTTTTTCGTATATGATCAAAAAGCGCGCTCATTTGTGTTTACTTAACCAAGTAATTATAAAGAAAAATTACGCTCGATGGAAAATATAAGCTTATGTGCCAGGGAAATTTAACGCATTATAAAATAGGCAGAGCTTTTCAAGTTGATTAAAAATCGACTTCTGCAATTTATAGCTGTTCCTGATAAATATGAAACAGAAATAATAACAAACTAATTTACCTTTTAATTTTACTTCACATGGCAACTCTTTCATGAAAATTAAAATTGACACTCTTATGAGAACCTGAATTTTTCAGTCAGATTATAAAGTGAATAAAAGCTCTCCCAGGCAACCGGGTGAGCGGATCATAGCTGAGGATAACTGCCATTAACAGCTGTGTTTAGGGTAATATATCCTTTTGTTTCGACGCCTCCGATAAACAGGCTGCTAAAATAACGAGTGTTTTTTTTCAGTTTTTTTTTAACATCGTAGCATTATATTGGCTTAACGTATCAGACGCCAGCGGCATTTCTGTTCCGGGGGGACTCCCTTATATGGGCTATATGGGTATGTACGGCCCCAAATGGTATAGTTTTTTTTAGGCCATTTTGGTCTAGAATAGGGAATCGATTTTGTTCCCAAATAGGGTATGGTTTTTGCACTCTAATCTTGAATTGGGTTTGCTTTTGTTTAGAAGAAGCTATCCTACCCAATAAATTGCCTTAACATTGGTCTGAACTAGGGAACTAATTATAAGGTACGTCTGAAACAGGTCGAGTCTTAAATAGAGTATCGAAGTTTTGGTCAGGTCATAAATAGGGAAGGGAAAATCGCAGATTTTGGTCTTAAATAGGGTAAGAGTTTTGGGAAACGGGCCGCACACCCTACCCAATTTTTCTAGGAGTAGTCCCCCCCCGCCCCCAGGTTTCTGTTCTGGTGTTTCGCCAATCCGAACTTTGTTCTCAACCTTTCTAGAGGATGGTCGACTCGTCAAGTAGCATCCAATGGGGTGTAAGCAGATTTATTTCCAAGTTGACAGCAAGCACGAGCAGTCGAGAGCTAAAACTGAATATTGACAACGCGCAACAATAATTTGATACACAAGCTGCTACGTAATTGAAACAACACAAGTTTATACCAAACTACCTCACACGGAAGAAAAAGAGTCCCCTCTGAACGGAATAACTGTTAAAAACATCTTACCATTCTCGAGGCTGTTTTATTCACAAGTTGTTACTGAATTCAGGGAACAACGATAATTTATACCAATTCAGAATCACCGAGCCATGCAAATAAAATAATCAGTATTCCATTTTTCCCACCAGAGAGTAAAACTTTTTAATCACAAATGGCTCTTAAGAACAAATGTTCATTGGGTATTTTTTGCTGACCAGGTTTTTGCTTTTCTATCGTTTCTTGTTACAATACATGTGGGTGTTAAACTGTCATGCATTCGTTATCTATCAATTTACGAAACCTGAGCTCAAATTGAGTGATTAAAACTCAGCCTTTAGGCCGGCTTCAGCTGGATTACAAAATTATACATAAGAGAATCGTTAAAGGAAGGTTTTTACGCAGTTTATATTTTAAATAAAAATTTATTCAAGACTCTAAAAAAAATTAAGTTCAAACAACTGACCTAACTGAGTTAAAATGCCTACTTACCAACCTTAATCTGGATAGCAGAAAAAATCAAGTTCTCAAATTACCATTTTCACGAACTGTAATTATGTGTAAAATAGTCTCTGATCTGTAAAATAGCATTCTGGAGCCAATTTACACTAATACGAATGAAGCCGGAAAAACTGAACTTCTGTTTATGCACCGCATGTGAACAGAGGATTCCCTGAAAAAACAAACACTGACTTTCTTGACTAATTTATCCTACACCACTCTCAAAGAGCGCAATATCTAGGCCCTTTTGGACTTACTGAGGCACTCGAAACAACCTGAGTCAGAGCTGCGCACATTTTCATTTTGACTTACATGGGCTTCATTCCCAAGACCGTGCACGATATTTTCGAGTTCTATGGACTTGAAACCAAATTGCAAAGATAATGACCTTAAGTTAAATCGACATGCTAAAAATAATCGCACGCTTGGTTCACACAGAGTCGCCAAAATATAGGCTCTTTTTCACTCACTGGGCACTCGAAACAAGCTGAGACAAAGCTGTGCACATTTTGATTTTGACTTGCATAGGCTTGATTCCCAAGAGCTTGGACGATATTTCCTAGTTCCAGGGACTTGAAACTAACAAAGCTCAAAGGGTGCAAATATTTCACGATGTTTGCATTGCAGCACTAACTCTCTAAATCTCTTATTATAAACATTTTGGTGAGGAGTTACTGCTTTTTGACTCGTCTCACGAAATCGCGATGCACAACATACACACAACTACAAAAAGTAGAAAATAAAATGAGAAAGAAATTGGAAACTCACCTAGTACAATTGCGATTCAGGCCTGCTTGTGGTTTTTAGGCCTTGAGGTAATGATAGTGACAAAGCATATTTATGACGGGCGGATCATTTGTCTTTTGGGGTTGTGTGGGTGGGTGATTTGTACAGGCACGAATTTTTTTAACCCTTTCATGCCTTAACAATTTTTTTTCTCGGTGCGCGTGCATGCACGATTTTTTTCTCCGTATGAAATGTTTTTTTTTTTCGACTTACTGAGAGTGTGCGAATTTCTTTTTTCGGCAGTGGTCGTTTGCATGATTTGGTACAAGAATACTTGAAGGAAATTCGTTTTGAAAACCACCCAGTCCCCATCAAAATTCAAACAGTCCACCCCTAAGTACAGTTTCTATTGTCGCGTTTGCTGTGCTTGTCTGACAGGTGAGTGTGTTAATCACTTACAGGAACATTAAGCGAATCAAGCGATGCCTAGAGAGCGCTTCAAACAGAAATATTCGGCGGGTTTGCTGGTTTTCGAGCTTTTAGTTGAATTTCTTGTTTGGTTGCCTCACGGTTGGTTATTTTCACAGAAACAAACTTGCAAAGTCATTTTTTAGTGTTGTAAGGTTTGCGTGACCAGTGGAAATGTTTGAATCATGCCATTGTCTGAAAGTGCAGGTGAAGGTCAGTGTGTGTGTTTTAGCGTGAGTTTCGCCTGGTTTCCGCGGTTCGAGTCAAGGTGAAACCATGATACTTAACATGCAAGCAGACCATTCTAAACACGACTAGCGTTGCTCTTAGTACTGTAGCTCGTGCACACTTTTCACGCCATAGCGAAGCAATTAATAAAAGAAGTCAAAACAAAGGGAATCACAGCTATAGCAAGCCGCAAGTATCTTCTGATTGGCAATAGTATAACTTTATAAAAAAGATAATTCTGCCTCCTTCATGCACACACTTTCCTAATGAAAAAACAAACGACAAAACAAACCAAAAAGGGAAGCGTGTTGGCGCTGATTAAAGGCAAATAAGTTATATTGTGAAAGACAGTTGTGTTTGCCTCCCACGCAAATTTTTGCTTCATGCGTTGCTCCCCAACTAGCACTCAACTACGCTTCCGTTTTTTAATCAGCTACAGTCATGTCGGTCCAATATAAGGTTATATTGTTGGACTGGAAAATGTCTCTTATATAGGTGGTTCATAACTCAGACAGTGCTTTAAAGATTATTTCAAGACATGCTATAGACGTGTAAGATTGAAAACCTGAAACTAATACCTCTTCTGTACATGTCTCACTCGCAGTTTGCTATATTCAGTCTTTTACAATCAAACGTTCATGTCAGCGGGCGGCGTCCCCACTGCGCCGGAGGAATTTGAAAACGCAGCTTTGTTTCTACCGCTAGGCCTACCATCTACACTAATCCGGCACTAAAACGGAGCTTTTGGAATACGCACTTGAAACGGGAGGAATTTAAAAACGCCGGCTTTTCGTTTTCGTGTGGACGGAAAACATTTTGAAAACGGAGCTTTTCGAAAACGATGACGTTACCATAATCATTCAATTTTCCTCAAACACAAATCCAAAATGACCGGTGATTACTGCGTTTTCAAATTTCTCCGGCGTAATATAAACGGAAAACATTTGATACGTTTTCAGTGTGAAAACACCGTTTTCAAATTTCTCCTCCGGAGTGTGGACGCGGCCTAAGGAATCGAGCTTACTTGGAGACACACTGGAAGAATATACAACGGAAGAATATCGACACTTCGTAGGACCCTTGTTGATACCAGTTCCCCCATACGGTGCTCACGCTAGCGAGTGAAACATGTACGACCAACCAGCAATGACAGAAAAAGCAGTTTGTTTAGTCTAGGCAGAGCTTCTGACGATAACAATCAGACCGACCAAGTTCGAAAGCGCGAAAACAGATCAAAATAATGACCACGTGCGTGTAGTCAAATTCTCTCGCGCGTTTTTATATTCCAATTCTCGGACTTTGTAATAATTTTGTGAGGCCCTTGCTGAGCGTGTTTATAATACCAGTTCCTGCAGTTCCCCCGTACGTGCTCACACCAGGTTAGTGAGACACGTTCTACCAACCAGCAACAAAAGAAAAAGTGGTTTGTTTAGTCTAGGCAGAATTTCTGACGATAAGAATCAAACACGTAACCAAGCTTGAAAGCGCGAAAACAGACCAAAACAAATGACCACGTGCGTGTAAACTTCTCACACGTTTTATTCCAATTCTCTGACTTTGTCATAAAAAAAACAACAACAATATATAAGGAAAACTGACAGGAACTGAAGTCGGCTAGATTAATAGTTTCACTTAGTTGGCGCTTTTGGCAATAGCACCTTGCAAATTACACTCGATTTTCCCAAAACCCATTCACGTTTGTAATGATATTGCGAGCCTTCATTTAACAATGGCAGTTTCAGTTCGCTATCATTGACTTGTTTCTGTTATGCAGGACTGTCTTTTTACATCGTCTCCTTTAATTTACGACTTAGAAACATTTCTCGCAGTTAAAAACCTAAAGTCCTTATAGATAATAGCGAGTTGGTTGAAGATTTAAAAAGAAGTATCAGTTCATCCACTACTTAGCATTTCTTTTGTTTCTCTCCCTCGTGTTTTGAAATAACTATGTATTATGAATGATGTCATAAATTTAAATTTGTTCCAAATACTGCATAGCTTTTTAATTTTCCAGAGCTAGTCTCATCAACATTTCAGCGTGTCTTAATTTGAGGTGAACTTCCAACGCCATCAAAACGTAACCGCGCGAGCGAAAGTCGCTGAATACACAGACAGTTTAGCACCCAAAACTCAGAGTGTTTTTTTTTTTTCTCTTTTCACGCACGATTTAGCTCTCGTTCCTAAAGCTCTCCGTTTTTTTCTCACGTTATTGCAGCTGGTTCATGTTGCTAAAGGCCTTTGTTATGTTATCGATTGTGTTATAAACAGCGTCGTCTTTTGTATAAATACCTGCAGATCGTGAATTTTAAATCGTAATGTTTAAGGTGGAGAGCCACAATTTTAAGTTAATAAGTCAAAGATTTTTCACTTTTTACTTTTTACTTTACTCTTTACATTAAAACTACTAATGTCCATTCTTCCCTTCAGCACTCGGCCGTTCATTTTATCTATTAATTTATTAAGTTTTTTTGTTTGCTTGTCGAGCATGGTGGACAAAGACTCACGAAAACACTAATTTGAGAAAGAGAAAAACATCATGGAACATTTGACAAAAGATTTAATGACTGGGCTCTGTTCGCTCCCTGGAAACTGTTTTAAGCCACTTTAAAATAATTTGTTATAACGAACGGCCGCCAATAGGCCCTTTGCACGATCTGGTCACATGGTACGGAATTAATTATGTTGGGACGTAAGTTACACAATGAGACTTCCAAAGCAAAGGAAAGTCGGACTAGACTGGCACGAGTTCCTTTTTTTTAGAAGTCCCACTGTGTAACTTGCGTCCCAGCATAATTAATTCCGTACCATGTGACCGGATCGCCCAAAGGGCCTATTTGTGCGTACGTCCTCTCTCAGTCGAGTCGGAGCTCCCGAAAACTCGGATAACAAATATTTTGTCGTGTTTTGTGTTGTAATCTGTAAAACGGCTCTTAAATGCTCTGTGTCATTGTTACTGGTATTCCCTTGTGTCACTCAACTTTTTTAATTTATTAAACGTTCTAACCATGTTATAATTAAGAACCCCGACCAACCAATTGACCAAACAGCCAACACCTATGTAAAACATGTACAACCAACCAACAACAGAAAAAGTGGTTTGTTTAGTCCAGGCAGAGCTTCTGACGACAAGAATCAGACAACGCGAGGACAACCCGAAACAAATGACCACGTGCCTGTAATCAAATTCTCTTGCGCGTTTTCTTTTAATTCTCTGACTTTGCAATAACAAAAACAACATATGAGGAAAAGTGAAAGAAGCTGAGGAATTCCAGAAAGTCGGCTAGATTAAAAGTTTCATAAGGTTAATTCTTTGCAAATTATAGGATTTTCTCAAAAACCATTCACGTTGGTTATAACATTGCGTGCCTTTATTAAACAATGGCAGTTTTATTTCAGTATCATTGACTTGTTTCTGTGATGCAGAATTGTCTTTTTTTATATCGTCTGCTTTAATTTACGCATTAGAAACACATTCCTCGCAGCTAAAAACCTAAAGTCCTTATAGATAATAGCGAGTTGGTTGAAGATTTAAAAAGAACCATCAGTTCATCCACTACTTAGCATTTCTTTTGTTTCTCTCCCTCGTGTTTTGAAATAACTATGTATTATGAATGATGTCATAAATTTAAATTTGTTCCAAATACTGCATAGCTTTTTAATTTTCCAGAGCTAGTCTCATCAACATTTCACCCAGGATCCGAAGTTCACGCAATTCATCTGTTATCTCATTCTAGAACAGGAAGCCAACTGCATAGCTGTTTATTCTCATTTTAAAGACAAAATACAACAGTGTGTTTTGGAAGCTTGCGGCATCCCGATTTACGATAAATTGGAACAAAGTGTTTTCTTAATTTGTCGATTACAAAGAGACATCAGCATCCTTCCCTCCCCAGGCATTTGACCAGTTATTGTGTGCAGCTAGGAACAAAATACATGGCTACTGCGATAACGGCATGATTATAGCCTAATATAAACCAGCGTATAAACTGTGGACACTGTAAGGTGCTGTGAAGAAGTACCCTTTGTTTGGAAGTTTCCGAACAAAAGGCGCTATTTTACCACGTCACATCTTCTGCCTACGTCCAGGGGCACAGAACTGATCGTTTCGGTAAATTATCTGTTCGGGGGGCCTTTAATTCTCTCTGATTTTCTCGACAGAATTGTCACCTCGAACGTTCTCGATATGAGAAATTATCAGTAACGCTTGTTGTTTTCGGATTGATAACAACGTCGTTATTGGTACCGAAGAAACTGAAGGTCAGCTATGAATTTCGGAAATAAGCTAACCAACAGCTGCAAAGATAATTTTCGCGAAAAGGGACAAAAAATTCGAAAGACTCAAGTTCCCCCAGGATGACCGAACGGATAACATCTTTGTAACGCAGCTTAAAATTATCTTACAGAGATTTAAAGTACTTCAGATCAGTAGTTACAACAGCGTCTTAAAGCATTTGAGAGAAAACCACCGCCGTTAATGTTTAGTGCCCGTATATGTTGCTCGTTGTGCTTTTGCTGAAAACCTGCTTGTTGCAGTAAATGCCTGCGAAAGAACAATCCCAATCTAAAGTTCACTGCGTGTCCCGTTTACAGAAGAATCGGCAAAAATACAGGAAATCAACTGAACGTCCCATTCTCAGTCAAATTCGATCAATGAAAGTACATTGTACTTAAACCAGTTCCAGTAGATGATGTGTGTGCCGCTGTTAAATCCAACCTAGTGCTAGCCTTACAGAGTCATTTAAACAATACCGAGCCGTCGATCCAATTTACGGTTGAAAGAGAAACAGAACGGAAAATATCCTTTCTTGACGTCACTGTCTGTCGACAAGATGATGGCCAACTCTCCCCTAAAGTCTATCGCAAACCGGCACACACAGAAAGATATCTCTCGTTTGACTCTCACCATCCGGCTGCTCACAAAAGGGCTGTTGTGAAGTCTCTGACTGATCGTGCAAAAGCTATCCCGTCTTCTGTTGACCAACAATCAAAGGAAATGAAACATGTGATCGCGGCACTCGGGTCGAATGGCTACCCGAAACGCTTTGTTATTCATGCAAGCAAACCGAAACGACCTTCTCAACAAACGCCTGCAACTGCACCGGATGACAAAAAAGGTTTCTGCATTTTACCGTACGTCAAGGGCACTACGGAATCGATTAAGCGAATCCTAAGCAATTACAATA